TGCCTGTATCCTTTTACTCGTTGCGAATATTTCTTTCTTTTTCTTATAACAAAAACATGGTTATTTAGACAGAAAGGCAATATCCATGAAACTAAATAGACAGATTTAGATTCATAGTTATCGCCGTGTCTCACCTTGAATATATGACATATAATTATATGGCATATGGTGGTATAAAGGTTAGCGGAAGTTAAGTGTAATTTATAATGTATGTAAAAAGATGAAACAGTAAGCTTAATGAACCGAAAAATATATAAAAGGTGTTTGCATTTATTCGGGAGTGTTTTATAATTATAATATTATTTTGCAGGAAATAACATTAAGCAGAAGAAGAGCTTAAAGTATTTTGAACTTATACTTCTTTTGACGTGTTTTGATAAAAATACGAGAGTAACATTTTTAAGACACCGACATCGCTTTGCAAACAAATTTCAACAACTTCATGGAATTACCATGGCAATTTTTGACATTTATAATTTCAAGATAATTAAACCGTTATCAATTACATTTTTTATGTTAAAAGTTGCCAAGCGAGCAGACGGTTCATCTGATGTTGAGTGAATACCGCCGCCCATAGACATCTGCTACATCTGAGAGTTCCACATGCATTGACAAATTACATATCATTTAATGTTTACATACATTTAATGTTTTTTTCATAAGGAAATACTGGCACAGGGGATAATTTTTTATTTTAATTTTCTTTTGTTACGCTAAAGGAATAAAACTTCTTCTTTGCGTTTATAAGTACACACAAATTATTTTAACAAGATTCCTTGGTACGCGCTGAGAGCTAAGAATACGATATGTGAGTTTAATATTAATATCCTACAGCCAGAATAAGGTAAAAGAAAGCGGTTTTATTTTATTACTAAATTAAAAAAAAAACCTTTAAAATGAACGACAAAATGAATAAGGTAAGCATTTGATAAAATATTTATAAAAATAACACAGGTTTCATTAGTTGCAGGCCGACATGTATGACATCTATGAGTCTTCAGATGCGTTACTTCCCTGGACTGGCCTGACCAATCGTACCTCAACGCTGTTGCGTGGCCTTTGTGCTAGATAAAAAATGAAATGATTGTCTTTGGACATAACGTAATATTTATGTGAAATCCGGTTTCCTTATTGACTGAAGAAATATTTTAATCCTACGCCGGTCTTCTGTGATGCCTTCGTACTTTACTCAAAATGGTGCGATATCGCCTCAAAAAACTTTCAATTAACAGTAGAAACTACTGAGTGATTCTGCCACTGTAATAAGTCTGAAAACTTTTCGTCGTATGCTGAAACTTTATAGCTCTACGCCGTAGCATAGTCGAGCTACGGCGATATAAGCAACTAAAATTATGTCATTATCATATTCGTACAAGTAAGTGAATATTAATATAACCATACAAATATATTATTATTGTCAAAAAAATTAAAACTCATTTTAAAAAAAAACTTGACGAACTCAACAAGCCTGAACTTTTTCTTCGTTTGATATCTTTATTCTGTTAATGGTGTTGCTTTACGACCAATAAACATTTTGGAAGCTATGAATAGGTGAAAAGTAATAAAGAAAGATTTGTGGCTAAGAAATCTTTAAAATTGTTGCCCAGTGTTAATGTTAAATTATCTTATATCTTTTAAAGACATTCGCCGTAAACTTGCGTTGAATAATTGATTACGAAAATAAATACCATTCCATGAAATCAATCTATTAATCAGATTCAGTCTTATGTATAAATGAACAGACCTAAGTTATTATTTTCTAATTCACCGCTACGAAAACAATCTCCCGAAATTTTCAATAATACCAATTTAAAAATTACAAACGTCGTCACGAAAAACTTTCTAAGCCCTCGAGTTAATTGCTTTATTTTAGGGATCCCCGAAGATACCAAAATTATGTACACGTCGAGAATAATTAAAATATTTTAAAGTAAGTATTTATATTAGGAAAAAAGTTGTGACCAATTTTATGACAAGTTCTCTTTAATTTAAGAGCTAGGCTATTGTCAGTACAGTATCCCAGTAATTCAGCTGAGTAATATCCTCCATCCTGCCCTGTTTAAAGCCCTTTCCTTTACCTCTTTATAGGAACCAACATTTATTTTCTTCTTTATTTGAGATACCCTATCCTCGGTCTCCCTCTATCCCGCTTTCCTTCCTTCCATGATATTGTTAATAAATTCGTCATGTGTTATTACGTGGCCTTTCATCTGTCCTCTGCCGTTTTCTTATTATATTAATCAGACTTCCTTTCTCATATTTATTCTTTTTTTAACCTGTTCATTTGTAGCCATGTCCGTTCAACTTATTGTTTCCATACACCTCCATCACCACATAACATGGTGAATTTTACGGCGCCAACTCAGTACCTGGGCGCTTGCTTTTTTTTACTTCCTTATTTTTTTTAAAAACATTTTACGGTGGTAGGGCCACGCAGCAGCCTCGGGTGTTGCACGAACGGGCAGGCCCGTCCGGGTAAGTCCACGACCTCTCAGAAAACCGGCGTAAAGTGGAAGTATGACAAATACTTTCGCGTTTCGTCTGGTGAGTGAGGTAGCCGGAGCTCAATTTCCAAAAAGGTTGTCAACGCATCTGCAAACCCTCGGGTGTGGCAGATGTCCATAGGCGGTGGTATTCACTTAACATCAGGTGAACCGCCTGCTCGTTTGCCAACTTTTCACATAAAAAAAAAAGATAATATTATCCTGTGTTGTAAGGACGTTTTCAAATATAAATTTCACGCGGACAAACACCCAGATGCGAAACAACTATCGGTTGGTCACACAAGTAGTTGTCCCGTGTGGGGACCCCCGACGCCGATGCCAATACCTTGGCAACAACAAAATAGACATCTTAATCTTAGCTAAAGCGGTGTAGCTTGATGAATCACTACACAGTATAAATATAAATCAAAGTCGTCCCGATGTCTGTCTGTCCCTATGTATGCTTAGCTCATAAAAACTACGCAACGGATCGTGATGCATTTTTTTACTTGATAGAGTGATTCAAGTGGAAGGTTTATATGTATAATACATTGTACCCGTGCGAAGCCGGTGCGGTATAAGTAAATAATAAAAAGTGTGCAGTGCAATTTAATAACAATATCTTATAAGAAAGGAGACTTTTAGCTATTGTTCAAAACGAAACAAACGAAATATATAAATGTTGAAATCAGCCAGCATTTAGCGACCAGCTATGACCTTTACATTTAAAAAGAACTGTAGTTTATTTACACTTCACACACGATGTAACGATGCATCTAATTCATTCGCTTTAATTTTCAGTGCTTTTCGAGGCTTTGAAGTTTATTTAACTTCCATAGTTTAGGCAGTGCCCTCTGTACCTGTGCGCTGTGATTGTTATTGTTATATTAGAAAGCAATTAAAACGCACTTTAACTGTCAACCGACTCAAACGTCTTGTATATGTGCTCATATATACTTAGATTTAATATACACTGTCTAATGTACTGAAGAGGCTATAAACGAAGTCGAAGGGGATGCAAACGTGACGTGATGGCGTTTATGGGCGGAAATGCAATATGCGGCTTGTAGTATTGCATCACGAGCATTGAAATATGTTGCTGTGTTAATATTCAATAACTATAACCTTTAACCTTTAATCCATGATAATACGCAAATTCTTGTCAAAATATTGAAAACAAATAAAATATTATTACATATATAGGGAAGAGGTAATTTGGAACCTGCTGATAATTTGGAACCCCTTAATATCCCAAGAACAGACAACGAAATCTGTTGAAAACCTATGAAATTACGTCGAACTGATGTCGTTGAACGTATTAGCTCCACTTCCATTGAACCATTAGCGTCATTTTTACATCGAGTTTAGACCTGTTATAAGAAGTTGAAATTTTGTGTCACCTGCAAATGTTTTTTACTTTTATTTCCTAATACTGTCATAACTTTTGTTTTTGTCTAAAAGTAAATACAGTAGGTGTTACAGGAAGTATATACGCATAAGTTTACATTGTCAGAGGTAAGTTTTAAAATTTATTTGAACTAGTTTTTGTTTTCTTGATTATTTGGTAACAAAGTAAGGCTTTAATTTTGGTACCCGATAGGAGCAGGTAATATGGAACCGGGTTCCAAATTACCGGCATTACTCTATTGACCGGGTCTCCTTACAAACAGCAACTTGAGTAGTCAATCAAGTCTATAGCGCAGAGAGGAAGAAGTCGGAGAAGAGTTTGGGGAGGCACTCGTGGGCGTAGAGTGTTGCAAAGTCTTCTAGAACTCCTCTAAACAGCGGGGATTCGACCTCTTCGGAATCTTCTGTTTCGTCAGGTGACACTGTAATGTCAGAAAATGTCACCACGCATGCTCAGCCTACAAATCAAGATGACGGCTTTTGCATTTTTTGCTCTGAAAATTACTGCATCGATCAACAGGATGAAACTTCAGTGCCATTCATATAGGTTGTGGGCACATATTGAAGGCTCAGGATGTGACGCGGAGTTTTATATTTGTGATTTTTGTGTGTAAATTTATTTCATACTTGTAATTTGGAACCCGGGTTCAATAATACCAGCACCAGATCTTTGATCACATTTTTTTATTTTTCCAAGAAAGCGATTCTTTTCCTATAATGAGTGATTTTATTTTATAAATTAGTTTCTAATATAAAAGTTAATAAGTTTTTAAATATAAAGAGACAGTTTTGTGATGATTAGTCAAATAGTTTTCTTAAAATACTTAAAAAACAAAGTGGGGTTCCAAATCGCCACCCCCCCACCCCCTTTACTATAGGGCAAAGGCCCACAAAAGATAAACTTGTAGTAAGTGTTAATATTCTTTCGTATATCGCCGGTTATTCCAGATAACCAGACCAAATTCTTTAAAGGTTTGTAACGCATCTACCGCTCCAATGAAGTAGATGTTTAGAAGGCGGCGGTATTCACTTAACACTATTCACATAGAAAAAAAACTACGCTTTTGAATAATATGATCAGCTCGTAGCCCGATGTGGGAAACTTGTACAATGTTATTATTAAGACGTGTGTCAACGACCTTTAGCTATATCTCAAAGACTTGACATAAAACAGAAATAGACAGTTATGAGTTTTTGAAACTACAATATTCACTAAAAAGAGCGCACGGTGCTGTGCATTCAAGCATTTTTAACAAAATCTTCTTAATAAATAAAAATGATTTTGGTAAGCGCATAACTTAAGAATGGTGGGATCAATTCGGCTAATTTATTTTTTTGTATATTCCTTAAGGAAGATTTTAATATTATAAAAAAACAGAACGAAGTCTGCCCGGACAGTTACTATGTTATAATAATATTGCACTGTTTGTCACATTATCACATTTTATCACCTTTAATTAATTTTTGACATTATTATCTTTCCGTTTCGTTTTATCTAATGGACAATGTGACTGTTTCGAATACTGTGAGCAGCAAAACGTAGCATTATAAATATTTCCATAATTGTATTCTATATACAACAATGAGAAAAGGAATTATTTCTCCAGAGTTTTATGTGCTTAAAAATAACAAAATTGATGTACATTTTGAATTATCTACATGCACTAGTGTATTTAAAAGTTAAATTAGCGCGGGACTGGATGCACGGCGAGATAACAAGTCGTAGGGCGGCGCCGCCCGCCCAACAACGGATATATAAGCGCGCGCGGAGGCTTCCACGGCACAACGGACCACAGCCACAGCCACTTCAGCCGCCTTTCTCTCGGCTACAGGACAACAGGTGAGCTCTAACGTTCCAATTTTGAAATTTATTCCCTTTTTAATTTTAGACATAGGAATATTCGTAAAGCGAGATGGGCGTTAGATCAGTAAACAAAATAATAAAGACCTTAACCTAATAATAATTCGTTTTTATTATACGTATAAAGATTAGAGAAATAGTTTTTCACAAATTTGACATGGACCTGAAATTCGTTTTGTTTTTATTTACATAATCAATACATACATAAGCTTCAGTCCGTTCTATACGGTAAAATATTTTTTATAGATTTATTTGATGTTTTTCGAATATCTCTCATTACTAATACTTTTTTATACAATAAAACTTTTATTTTTCTATAGTTTTAAAGACCGTAAATAAAAAATAACGTGACCTAAGATGATGTAAGGGCCTCGTATCAACAGGTTTATTATTCAGGGCCCTCGAGGTTATTTTAAATTCGTGCATTAAAGCGGAAAAATAAACGCTCTTTTTTGCAATTATTCAGTTTAATATTTCAGGATTGTTTTAAATTTTCTTTCATAAGAAATTGTTTTTACAAATATTGATAGTGTGATTTTTAAATAAATTAACACGATATCAATAATTCAGATCAAATTAATTTAATAATTTTGACAAAAAATCATTGAAGACTTATTGTATTTATTTCGGATTCTTAATAAGGTTTTAAATTTTTAAAGCCTTTTCATAATTGCTTTATATAATGTTTCTTTATATAATATCTGATTTCAGATATTTTCTTTATGTCGTATTAAACTTAAATATGAACTTAGTCATAAAGAATTTTCGAAATCAATAATCAGAATTACTTTTAACAGTGTAAATTTCTTTTTTTTTGGTAAAATTGGTACCAAAGTAAATGTAGTAAAAACGCGCTAAAAAACGAGAAACCTTCTTTACTTCTAGTTTACAGCATTTTAATTTTCGTTTAAAATTATTATTTCACTTTTATTCGATTACTTTCGACAGTGTAAATTGCTTTTTTTGTAAAATTGATACCAAAGTAAACGTAGTAATAAAAAGTAAAGGTAGTAATAATAAATAATTGCTGATGTAAGCAGAAAATATATTGTTGCGGCAAAAGGTTTTAACTCGGAGACATAAGTTAAAATCTATTTTATGTCACGTAACGTAATAACGAACTCTACAGTATCAGCAGTAAAGCTTGAAACGAAGTTTCTTCTAAAATTAAAATTATAATTTAATGTAAGATCAATGATTAAAATCATCTTTTAATTTACTCCAAAACATAATGCTCTCAATATGTTTATTGAATTTGCTAACTTATTTTTTTAAGGTTAGTTGATAATATATTCTATGTTCATATAATATTTTCAAATAGTTGAACAAGGCAGAAAATTACAGACCAAAATAAATATTCTCTGAATCATTCCTCAATGCTTTTATAGGTATAGGTTTAAAAAACCCTGTACTTTTCTGTTAAAATTATTGTAGGAAAGAGCAGAGTAACTAATTTTGACATTACACATTACGACACAGCGCTCTACTGTACAGTACCTACACATTACTTAGTGAGAGCCAAAAGTTATTACCGTAAAAGTACTATAAAAATACAAAGTAAAACTAAAAGTCGTATCGAACTAAAAGCTAAGATACTCTGAGCATCAAAAACAATTGCACTTTAAATAAGACGCCACAGTTCGAATTACCAATTTCTAAAAATAGCAGCAATAACAAATATATAAGAAATAATGAGACGACATCTTTAGACGTAAAAATTGTGGGCAATCAAATGCTTATTCTCCGCTTGCACGTGTAACATTTCAACGAGTCTGAGCGTTGAGCATTTATGTATGAAGAAGTTATTGGATTTTCTTCATACACTGTTTGTTAAATCGCGTGCTATTTTAAATATCAGCACACACGTAGGTGCCATGTAAAACAACTAAAACTACTCTTAAATATTTTTAAATGTGAATGAAATTTTATAAACCCAATATTTTAAAATACAAAAAAAACACAATTAGTTTTGTAAGTGTGGGACACACAGTATGTACATACAATATAGATATTATAATTTCAACTAAAACTTTCGTTTCGGTATTAATACAATAATTATTTACTTTTCTGACATTTAAAAAAAAATGCAGTGTGTTAATTATTGAAGTATATACACAGAGCATAAAATAACACTACTTTTTCATTTAAGAATACTGCCAATATCATGTCAACCTGGTTGATGATGGACGATCCCATCCAACCACAACTAATTATTGGAATGTTTTGTCTTTGAAATGAAAAGACCTCAATGCTCGAGGCACAAATGCGAGACGAAGATGTAACTTTTCTTTTCAATGTTACCTGTCAGAATCAGTTCATAGGTATTTACAAAGGAACAATAAATATCAGAAAAATTGACAGGGAAATTACAATGTAGTACATTCGCAATTTCATTAATTTAAAAATAAAATATAAATGATAACGTAATAAATTGTTTCAAGTATTCACTAAGACAGCAATAATTTTATGACAACCAAATAAGAGTTGGTATTCAGAACAAAATTCGCTTAAAAATAACGTGTCTTTGTTAATTGCGACTTAATACAAAAACCCTGGAAATTGGCCTTAGGTGAAATAGAATCTGGCTTTTCTACGAATAATAATTATGTTATTACTAAGATATAAGACTTAAACTAAAAATAACTAAGACGTAAACAAATCAAAAGCTTTTTTTAATTTTTCAATAAATTTAAGATAAATAAATTGCAATATTTTTAAAAGTCAAAAGCTTACAAATTCCACTATGAATAAATCGGACATGTTTAATGTATTCTAAGTTTATATTATTTCTATTAATCAATTTCTATTGCCGTTTTTATTTCCAAAATCATATCAATCTTAAAAAGGAATGATTATTTTAATGTACAACCTTTTTTTATTGGTAAGAAAAGTAAGAAAATTGTGTGATAATAACAAAAAAGGAAACTAACTATAGATAGAAAAGCAACTTAAGCAAAACTTCTATCACATTATTGAAAATGTTGTATGGTATATTACAACAAGCATTCACTGTAACTGTATACACGAAAGAGTACTTTTTATGGTTCCGTACCCAAAGGGTAAAACGGGACCCTGTCAGTCCATCACCAGGTATAGTGAGACAGTTGAAAATTTCATAGATGATCTTTCTGTTACCGTTATAACAACAAATACTAAAAAAAAACAGAATAAAAATTATTTAAGTGCTCTACAGCAGCCATGATTTTTTTTTGCCGTTTTTATAGATAATGGTATGGAACCCTTCGTGCGCGATTCTGACTCGCACTCGCATAAAAATAATAAGTAAAAGTAATATGTCCTACTGCTGGGTAAATGACTTCTTTATACAGAAGGAACGGACAATTACTACATACTATAAATTTATAACATTGTTTTATTTTCTGTTATTATTTTGAATTTTTGAGTTTTCATTAATGATTGAGCACGCGTCGTCACTTAAAATTAAAAATTTCATCGGTGCCGGCACCGGGATTGGAACTTAGGTTGCTCGATTAGTATAAGGGATCAAAAGCGAGCGCCCGGACACTGAGCTATCACGGTTCTATACGTAAACCCGTAACCAAAACGGACAATTTTGAAAAAATTTTAAATTAAATAAATTAAATATTGCTATTCGTTCTCGTATTATATACTAAACAAATTTTGCTTCATATTATTATAGAAAGGAGACAGAAAATGTTTTACAGTTAATGTGCACAAATATTATTAACTGTAACACATTTTCAGTTTAATATCAGACGCACTATCGGTACATTATTAAATGAGGAAGATGCATGGATCAATACATAATTATGTTAAGGCCCAGTACATCTAATTTAGAGCAACGAGTGGTGAAAAGGAATATCAAGTAGCTGTTTAGCATACAATATATGTCTCCAGTTATTAACTACGATATTAATTACTTCATTGCCGAATGAAGTTCGTGAAGGCATTTTAATGAGAGGCTGTATCTAGCGTGACAACAAGTCGTAACTTTTTATGATGGACGTGAAATTTAAACGTAAAAATTTAAATTTCGCGATGTCACATTAAACTTGTTATATAGTCCCTTTTTTAAAAATTTGAACATATAATTTTTATTTGGTCCTATTCAAAGTTTGCTAAAATAAAATTACCCGCCTTTGTGCGGTCATCCTACACAATTTCTCTGTGTCAAGTTTTTATTGAGTAACAAAAAATAACATCTAGCGTCGTATATTTCGATCGTCGCTTGCTTAATAACATTGGAAATGTTTTATGATGTCTTAAACATTATCCGACATCTATGTTCATTACCAAAGCTTCCAACAGTAATAGAAAAATACTGCGTACGGTTTTTTTTAATGCGAATAGGTTGCAAGCGAGCTGGCGATTCACCTGATGTTAAGTGATAACCACCACTCACGGACATTTGCAACAACCGTAGGGTTGCAGATGCGTTGCCACCTTGTAATATAGTGGGCCAAGGCTGCCACATTTATCAGACGAAATGCAGAAACATAACACATCCACTTCACGCCGCTCTTCTGTGAGGTCGTGGTACTTGCCCAGACGAACTTGCCCATTCGTGCAAAGGCCGAAGCTGTTGCATAACCCTACCACAGTTGAGTATTTAATAATAAAATATAGAACTCGTTGAAAAGCTTTTCATGAAAACTGATCACAACGTTTTTATTGAACGGGTTCTTCCACTGATGTTTTGGGGCACAAAGTTGTAACATGATTTTTCAGATATTTATCAAATGTGTGTATAAAATAGGTGCAATGATGCTAGCTGGGAGAGTTGTGGTTGTTGCCATAGCAGCCGTGCTGGTTTGCTGCAACGCTGACCCACACAGGGTAAGAAAATTTTTATCCACTTATCAAGAGAATTTATCTTAGGCATGAGAAGGGTCGTTAAAATCCTTGCCAATGGCACTAACAATGTGATTGATGTGGTTCGACCTCGCCTGGTAGCAAAGGGCATGATGATGATGATAACGATGAGTATAATTTCGAGAGTGATTAAAGTTGTTAATATTAACTCGTTTGAGACAAAACATGAAAATCGTTGTTTCTTATTTCGCAATAACAATGTGTTTTGTACACAACGATAAAGATGTTTTCCGTACATTCATAAACAAAACATAGACGTGATCTTGTTTAGTTTCACAATTTATTCACACAATCGACAGCGTAGCATAATGTTAATTTACTTTCTTACAATTCATTTTTTGATATCACAATGGAGTGGTCTCCCCAAGTGAAAATACATTAAGGACTTAAGCTTCCAATCAAATGTTTAATCACACCGACCACAAAATGAATTTTACACTAAACACTGAATGATAACGGAACGTTCAAAGAAAAGTAGAGAGGCTTAATGGAGCTTTGCTATGAATTGTAAAATATAACAGCCAACCTTTTAACGTTGCTATTTAAATGTTTTACTGACAATCGATTTTATTAAACAATAACTAGTGGCTCGTGTTTTCTCAAACCACCAATTTCATTTTAAGAGTATGATTATTTGTTGTAATTGATAACTAAAATATATTATTTCTTGGGTAGAATTTAGTCCTTTTTGTTGCTTTACGACAATGGTTTACATCATAATACAATGGCAATTATTTGTCTGTTTAGGTATATAAAATAAGTACCGTTTCTACTTAGTTGTCGATTTTAATTTTAAATGAAACCATCTTACCAAAATTGCAGGAGTGGTAAAGATGAAAAATGTGTGAAATTTACCAAAATTAAGATTGTTGATTCCGTTATCCATTAACGGAAAGAATATTATATACACATATTTGGATTATAAAAATATCTTTCTATATACAGGAACGAGATGGGACCGTAAGTGACCACAGCCCAGATCGCTACGACGCAAACGGTAAGTATTATATAACGTTGTCCTTTGACTGACATTATATCTTAGCACTTGGGAATGCTTAGGACACACATACCCCAAGCACATAACCTATGTATATGTCACTAACACCATCATATTATTTTCGATTATTACATTAAAAACACTCAAATCCTTTTGTACTTTTATTTAACAAATTGTATAAACAAGAAATCATTTAGCACCTATATAATCACCAATTCCGTTACTCCTCGTTAGTGTTATGGAGACTGCACTGAATATTTAATTGTATGTTTGTTTTTTGTCACTTTGTCGTGGTGATGGAAGCGCACGTATCACAAAGTTTGTCTTCGCACGATGATATGTAATTCTCTGTGCACTGTACCTACCTTGCACATTCTTGGTGAGTAAAGTTTTGTGTTTTCAGTACATTATTTCTTTCTTTTTTGACATTCTCATATACCAAACGTTGTTACAGATTACAGGCAAAGGGAATTCGAAAACTTCCTCAGGTTCCTCCTAAATAACGAACGGAGAAATAGCAACCGGAACATAAACGGAATTGGTGGGAGCACGTTGATCGGAAGGAATATCAACGGTGGTTTAGGAGGAAGCAGCCTGTTGGGAAGAAATCTGAATGGCTTCTGGCCACCGTCAACTCCTGATGGAAATTTTAATGGCAACAGCGACTCTACTTTTATTGAACATGGACTGGGGAAAAGTTTAGATGCAGAAGAACAAAGCAATGTTTTCGCCCGTTTCGTAGATCCCCTAGGGGGCAGTAACTTCATGCGTAACTTAGACTCACTTGGCGGCGGGAATTTTGTAAGGAATCTTGATTCACTCGGTGGCAGCAACTTCGTCAAAAAGAACCTAGATCAAATCGGAGGACCCAACCTTGTAAAGAGGAATCTAGATTCGCTGGGCGGTGGAAATTTCGTACGTAACTTGGATCCTCTCGGCGGTGCCAACTTTGTTTGAGCATTAGATTCCAAACAAAATGAAAACTTTGTTTAGATAGTCTTCGTATTGCTAATATTGTCGTTTCACTTGTTTATTATTTAATATTCAACAACGTACTAAATGTGATAGTTTTTGGTTCGACTTTATTTATTTATCGAAATTAACGTTAGAAACTTTCAAATAGAAAAATGTTGCAAATGCGAAATTACAGTTAGTTTTATTGAACCCTAAGATCCCAATTATCCATAATTTTATTTTTTTACGTAAATTTGTGAAAAGCATGGAACAAATGCATTTACAAGGATCAATATAGATTTACACCTGAATAAAGAAGAGGTAAGAACTTCGAGTATAAAATAAAGCATTCTTCTAAATCTACGGGGTATAATTTCATTATGTTTGCAATCCCTTCCAAAGGTCACAAAACACGTAACTTGGACCCCCTGGGCGGTGGTAACCTGGTACGCGAAGTTCGTGAGTCTAGACATTCAGGGTTTCTTCCATTCTTCTCCGGCCGCCGATACGACTTCATCGGGTACGTTTTCTCCAAAAAGCTTTTGATCCAACCTTTATACCACTCGTTATTTTATACACTCTTTTTCTGTACTAATAACTCATATTTTAATGCGAATTGTCATGACTACAATATAAAAAAGTTGGAAAAATTTACACTACTTTGTACAAAATAAAAATTGTACAAGTAGTGTAAAAGTAGTAGATGATTTTGAATAAAAATTGGTATAACTTTTTTTTAGATTAATTATGTATTCAGCTTCATGAATATCGTTTATATAAAAGAAAAACGTACTGGTATTTTGTGAAGTCATACGCCAAGAAAGACTGGTAACTTCTTTGTAATCATTCACTGAGTTTTGTTTGTGCTACTTTCTGGCTTAAAAATATTTGCTTGAGAAAAAAATATACAGAATTTTCTGTATAGAGAGAGCTAAGAAATTTTCTTTAGAAATCCCGTTTTTTGTTTGATCATATACAAAATACTTGAAGTTACAATAAATACAATTCTACTTTATTGTGTAAAAATCTTTCTTGTCTCAACGAAATCGTTCTTTTTTAATTATAAAATTTATATAATCACTGCACAGAACGTTCATATAATTATAAAAGGGACACACATGAAGAAAAACCGTGTACCCCTTTTAAGTATATTATGGTGAGCGATATTTGACTTGGTTAAAGTCATGCATGAATATCTTATTTTTCTCTTGTATCTAATTTTTTTCTTTTACTTCTGGCACTTAAGGTATTTAATGAATCAGACCAATCTTTTTTATTTAAATTTTTTCGAAATAAATTAAATTTTTCTTTTTTCTACGTCCACGTTGAAAACGTAAAATAGCATAGTATTATAAAGGCAAACCATTCTGAGCGCGAAACCGGAAGATGCAGGTTCGAATCCCGCTGCGCCGGAGGTTTTTGTTCATTTATCTACAAAAAAATTACAATTTACAATCTTCACAGAGCAGAAATAATGGACAAGAACTTCAATTACGCGACCACCAGTGAACATAATTACGACAGGCGAAACCTGTGTATTTTTTTATGAAAACCCGATAGGGATAAGTTTATTTTTCGTTAACTGTAATTCGTGTAACCACTTTCAAAGTGTTTCTGAAGTTTTCTTTTGAACTTTGTAACAGTCCATACGGCGGTGCCAGACGTCAACTGTGGCCTAACACGGAGTACTACCGAGATGACTATCCCAAGCGCAACTTCGATGAAATTGATCGGTAAATAATACATGCGTACATACACGACATTTCAGCTCTACATTCTCAATCCAAAATTTTAAATGCAACGAAGGGACGATTTTTACGATTAATTGAAGCTATTAAAACTTTTAAATAACAATCCCTTTATATATCAAATAATAGATGTGAGAAAATCAATTTACATCCCTCTTGTAAAATTTACAATAACTATCAACAGCTTAAAATTATCAACTTTTGTTTTAGCTTTGCTCAAGCAATTAAAAAAGCTGTTCTCAATTTGCTTGACAAGTTATAGTTTTAAGGAGAAAATTAAGCGCTACTTCGTATTTCGCGTCGCGATTATTTAAAAACTGCTAATTAGATTTTTTTGAGAGATGGGAGCTATTTGTGTTTGTGTCGTTTTCATTTTTCATTCAAGCAGAAAACGGCTAAATGAGTTTTAAATAACAAAACTCTTTTGTTTGATATTTAAAATGTGTGTTGCCAGATCTGAACTGGACAGCTTCGTGGGAAAAAGGAACATCGATGAAATTGACCAGCCCTTCCCTTATGCTAGCAAGCGTTTCTACAACCTCTACGGATCTAACTACCTCGATACTCCTGTGTAAGCATTCAATTAATAAATAATATTTTAATTTTTTTTATGTGAAAAGTTGCGAAGCGAGCAGGTGGTTCACCTGCTGTTAAGCGAATACCTCCGCCCATGGACATCTGCTACAGCCAAGGATTTGCAGATGTGTTGACAACCTATTGAAAATTGGGCTCTGGCTACCTCACACACCAGACGAAACTCCATTATCCACCAACAAAATTTCTCTTTGTTTCTTCGACAGTGTAACATCATTTTTAAACAATAAGCTTTAAGCGCATCTGAACATTCTAATAACGAAATTTCAACAATATATAATACAACATTTATCGTTTTATCCAGTATCGCAGATAATGAAAATACGTATGGAAATTTCTTTTTATTTTTCGCAGTTCGAACTTCGACAAGAAACGGTACAGACCCGACTACCCGATGGACGAGATCGACCTTTCTCATTTCCCTATCGGCTCCAAGAGGTCCATGGCGTTTAACCAGAATAGGCCCCTCCGTTAAGATTAACCGATTTTGCTAAAGTGTCTCTAGTGGCCGTCTAATAAAGCCGCTTATGCATTTCTAATTGTATTTGTATCGCTTATTGTCCGGTACAACATGATTTTTGTTTCCATCCACAATAGTTGCCAGATGAACTTCCCTTTTTACTTTAATAGTGTTTTATTATCATCTACATTATTTTGTTTAAAAGTAACTACCACGAACACTTAGAAAAAAATTTAAACGTGTTTGTCTTATTGTATGTAATCTTATGGGAATTTCTAACGTTTTATAAATTTTAATATGGATTTTAAATAAACGCGAAAGCGAGGTTTAATCTCGAATTTAAATGTTAAAAATCATGTAGATCACGAAATATTATATCGTATAAAGTTGTACCTGTTATGTTGTTTTAAAAGTTTCATGTGATTATTTTAAATGATATTATTTTATTAAAGAAATTAAAGGAACTATGACTTACTTATTTAAAACCAGTGTACTCGCTTCGACTTCAGGATAGAGAAATTTAATTTAGGTTGAATTTTCCTTCGTCAATATTTTCGTAATGCAAGGTTAAGAGTATCATACTTTTAGAATTTTTTGTTTCCCGCGAGAAACATGGTTATTACATTTAACTGACACTGTGCATCTCATTTAAATAATGCAGCTCGCAGCTAAATGCACGAGATATAATTAGGTTTCTTAAAGATCTATTCAAGAGCTTTTTAACTAACACTTTCTTTAAATTAAATGTAATATAGATTTTTTTACTAAGAAATCATGCACGTTGTCCTAAGTGGAATAAATAGAATAATAAAGTATTATCAGTATGTATCACTATACACGATTATCACTGTAATCACGAAAAGTAATTAAACGATCCAGAAAATAATTTATAAATACATTTTGTAACTACAAACAAATTGAATCTCTTTGTAATATTTATATAGAAATAATTAAGAGCTTGTATACCTACCTAAATATGAATTTGTAAATACTTTGCCCTTTGGCTAATTTTCCACAGTACGAAGATTGTTAAAATATTTAGTAAAAAGGGACGGTCTTCTTCAAAGCATTTATTTAAATTTAGAGTAATATTTACATGAGCATTGTATAAGCGTAAGGGCTCACTCTTACTTAATTTCATCCTTAAAATTTAATAAACAAATAGATATAATTTACATACTATTAAACAAAATTATGAAAATTATAATTGTTAGTGGTAATATAGAAGATTAATGGATAATGATGGATTAATGGATTTCGGCAAGTAGCATTTGCTTTTGCAAAATAGTTTTAAAATATTTTTATCCACTTTGCTATGTAGTAAACAAAAAAAAGAATTGATATTTAGCTAAACGGCTTACTTAATAAGATTATGTACTTTGTGAAATCTTTAATAAATTATAAAAGAAATGTTCTTGTAACTTACAATACTTAGGAATGAAAAACTATACCTATCAAATAAAACTTATCTAAATCACGTTTCAAACAAAATAAATTCTTTAAAATTAGGGTGACTAATTTCTCCGCTAGGCTAATACAATTTTTGACATAAATAATATTTGAAACAATTTTTTTTGTTGTGGGTGTGGCCCTTTATCCTTGCGGTTGTACATGCACTGCGCTGGACGGGACACAAATTCGGAAATAGACTCTATTTTAGAATTTCGTTTAGTTTGTTCTGTGGCGTCGTTCTTGACGAACCGCCGTGTCGGTCCAACGACAGAAGGTTAACCAACGATCACACGCACGCTTGCGTTCAATCCTGCATCCGACTTAATGACTTGTAACCGTAATGACTTTCTCTATTGAAACAGTCGACCTAGATGTGATAAAGCTGATAGCCATACTAAAGCGTGTAGTGTGGAAGAACTATGGAGGACTATGTAACTTCTCCATGTTCAGGAGGACCCTCCGATCTACCCGGGCCCGGTTGTGTTCAGAGATGTATGATAGGAGATAAAAAAGACAATAGTCCAGCTGTTGACGATTAGTTTACCAAACTTTTCTGGCTTTTGGTAAAAGGATGATTTTGCCGGTTTTCCACAAAGAGGGATAGTGTGGTGTACGTGGTATGTCGTTGAATAAACGACACAGCGAAATGATTCCCCTTTCAGAAAACTGCTTGATGGCTCAGGTGGTGATGCCATCTCATTGCGCTGATTTCCGATTCAGAAGTCTGTTAACTGCCGTTTGTACCTCAGCCGGAGAGATAAAAATCTATAATAATCATCTATAAGCTGTGGCACTGGCACTGATACAAACTATTGTACGCTTCCTTCTACCGTGAGGTGTAAAGAAAGGGCTTCTGAAGTGGAAGGATTGTAAACGAATTTAGACTCTAGATGCATTGCAAACACGCATCCATCTTCCACTGATGTAAACGGCCACACCTATGGTGCGCATGCTAAAAATCTGCTCAGTATATTAGTTGCTGAGAGTAGCCTTACCATGGCCGTCGTGCTCGGTGCGGCAGGCGGTAGAAGTGGGGTAATTTATATTCCCTTTTTTTTCTTGGCCACCCTTGACGGGATAGCGCAGCGTGAATCATTGCGCTGTTTGCTTACTTGGGTGTGTCCTTATTCCCCAGCCAGGTGCTCTCCTGCATACCCCTACCATTTCAAGCTTTTACCATAATGTCTGGCATGCTTAGCACTTCGCTGCCTATATATAACTTTTCCAGTTAGTCTTTATTAATTTGGTTCAGCTTAAGGTGGAACAGGGCTCCCGGTCTGCTGATCACCCTTGCGTCGCAGGTGCGAGTTTACTGCTATACGTGTCGCTCTGGGGGCAACCGGATAGCATCCATTTACTGTCGGCAATCTTACGCTAGTCGTCATTTCACCTTGCCTGCGGGCATCCTGCGTTACATCACGTTGCTTGTAAAACCGACAACCGGTGGAGCAGACTCGAGTGAAAATCTCAATCGACCCTGATTTAAATGTAGACCCAAATCTAGAAGAATTGTGTACCGTGCATATCCGTAACCACTGCTCAATTTTAAAAATAAGTACCACTGTAGGGTAAAGACCTAATTTAATTTAATAATTATTCTTCCAAAAACATTAAACATTTTTTTTAAAAAAACAATGATTTAATAAAATAAATAAAACAAAATATAAACATGTAATTTCGAGTTACACTCACAAATGAAGGTTAGAAACAAACTATTAGAAAGAAGCGTAGGTACACGGGAAGGCGAATTCGATTTTCGTACTCGTAATTACGATTATATGCAGATTTTATTACTATGGTAGAGCCAAGCAACAGCTCCTGCTGTGGCACAAATGGCTAGGCTCGTCTGGGGAAGTACCACGGCCTCACGGAGGACCGGCTTGAAGGGAAAGTATTAAACTTTCACGTTTCGTCTGGCGAGTGATGAACCGGGGCCCAATTTATTAAAGGTTATCACAGCATCAACAAGCCATCGAGTATTGTAGATGGCCTTGGGCATATAACGTCAGGTGGGCCAGCTGCTTCCTTGAGAACTTTTCACATTAAAACAAGTAAGTCGTAAGTACTAACTTATGTACTCACGGACGATTTTTGCGTAGCAAACGAAAATTTTTATCTTCTGTGCCAGTAGCCTTTGTTTGTGAAAAGGACATTTGATACAGTGTAATTAAATAACTTAGAATTATAGGTTATCATAATTTTGTTATTGTTGCCATGAAAATGTGAAATGGTGAAGTTGATGGTTGGTTATGTGTTGGTTTGCAACTAACTTCATAATGTCGCGTTTTGAATGTCGCACGCGTATCGTAAAAATTTTACGAAGTATAATATTTTTTCCGTGATAGCTCTTTATCCAGGTGCTCGTTTAATTCCATATGCTCAAGCAACCTGAGTTCAATCCCCGGTGCCGTCACAAGGAAGTATGACAAGTACTTTCGCGTTTCGTCTGGTGAGTGAGGTAGCCGGAGCCCAATTTTCAAAAGGTTGTCAATGCATCTGTAACCCTCGGGTGTAGCAGATGTCCATGGGCGGCGGTATTCACTGACCATCAGGTGAACCGTCTGCTCGTTTGGCAACTTTTTACATAAAAAAAAAAGTTTGAATTAAAATTTTCAAACGGATCGGTCCTAATTATAATCCGGATACATATTAGGCTGTAGGTTGTGAAACTAATTAATATCTAAAATTAAAATAATCAGAACGTTAAAGCAATTTTTAATCGAGATTTTTACTGATATAAAAGCTCTTATCTAAACCAAAATTTTCACATAGGGTTATCATCAATATTACAGCCTGTCTAGTCCAATGCTGAGCAAACGCCTTGTTCAAAGACTAGCACAAAACGCGGCTCTGACCTACTCGTACCTGCATTCATCGCCTCCCGTAACTTTGTAAACGTGTACGAAATGCACATTACGTCGGGGGACAAGTGTACACAATCGTGGTACGATCTGGCTTCCGCCTCGCAAAAGGGCAGGATCTAGGCGGATCAGAACCGCGCACCTTGAGTGATCGTGGGGGCTGGGCGTTACGTCAGGAATGATGTTATTACATCGCGACCTGAAGGCGACCTGAAGGTGGAGTCATCAGTTAGATTGTAGTCCGGTTGCGTTTTCGATTCTGCGACTGAGACGACAACGGGCCACACTCACGCCTACAAAATGTCGGTCTAAATCGCAGCCCTGCATGCCTGCCCGCCCACTCCCACGAGAACTTCTGCAGTTTCGCCGCGCTAAATACACGTGAAATGTCCACTTTCACATATCCTCCACTGGTTTACTATTAATAATATGGTATTAAATGCCAAAAAAACTACATGTATTCATTTTACCCTTTCCAGTATAAGAAGGAAAAGTTTTAGTTTAATATTAAAGTACCTGGAGGACCGAGCTTTACTCGATTTTTGCTAATTCATGTATTTTTGAAATAAATAAAAATAAATAAAATGATCTGGTATAGAAAAAAAGTAAAAAAAACAATTGTGTAAATGATCGTGATACGAACCACGGCCTTCTGTTCTGGGGCCGCCCGATTACCTACCGAGCTATTATAACATTTGT